TGTTTTTATCTGCTCTTTGTGTGTGTGTGTGTTTTTTGTTTGTTTGTTTGTTGTTGTTTTTTTTTTGGGGGGGGGGCGGTAAGAGAAGTAAGAGAAGGCAAGCATGTCATCTGGTTATTTTGTTAAACTTCGTCATTCATATTCAGGATAAGGGCTCTCTTATTCGAGGCCATCTTCTCTCTTGAATTCATCAGGAATACATCCGTAATATCCGTGTTCATGAATACACGAATGAATGAGACTGAGATGAGTAAAGAGGTCTGACCTAAAAACATCAGATGCATGCATGGGAGCCGGTTTCATTCACCTGTCCAGGCAGTATTATACAAACATGGGTCAAGGGAATATAATAAGGTAAACCCATTCTGTAAGAATAAAAGAGCTTAGATTTGTTCATTCTTCATCATGTTCTTGTTGTTTTACTTTTATTCAGCTTTATCCATCTTATTAAACTGTCTTTTTTTTGTGCTAATCTTTAAATATTAATTTTTCTAAATTTGCCTTCTTTCTATTCAGTATGTATGCCTCACATCCCTTCCTTTCTCTATGTCTTTATGTATGTCTGTCTGTCTGCCTGCCTGTCTGTATGTCTGTCTCTGTATCTTTCTCTCTCTCTCTCTCTCTCTCTCTCTCTCTTTCCCTCTGTCCGTCTGTCTGCCCATCCCTCTCTGTCTCTCTTTCTCTCTCTTTCTTTCTCTCCCTCTTTTGTGTTACGATATTCTTTTAAATATTAACGAGTATCTTTTTCAAAATTTGACGATGCACATGGCAAAACATATTTAAAGAACTTCCACTTTAACATTTGAACTAACACTGTAAGCATACATCCTCAAATGTATGCAATAAATGCAACCCCTGAATCAATTTTAACTCCTCATCCATTCCATTGCCTCCATGTGAATCATCCGTCAGCCAGCCACTTATACATCCTAAATTCAAACCAACAACATAATCTGAATGCTATACACAATGATTTTGCACATCATTCAAGTCGACATCCCAAAACCAATATAACATTTTACATTGGCTGTCTGTCTGGACCGAGTTGAGAATGGATGTTTGTGGTTCATGGCTGAGGTTAGACCGTGGTAAGGATAGATCGGCTAAAGGATTCATGAATATTTTCTATTCAGGGTATTGGGTTGGTTTGGTTTGGTTTTATTTTCTGTATTATAACCTATTTCCATACATATGAATATAACAAAAATAATTATTAAGAATGAAGATGTCTGGATTGCTCCATTCAGAGCCATTATCATAATGACTGTGTTCATCCTAGGCCCAGATAATCGTGAACAATTTGTGAGAAATATAGTGTTGACTGAGCTATGAAATAGAGCTATAACTTGGAATAGCCAATGCCCTCATAATTTTGGAATATAACTTTTTGCATTCTTTGTCTTATGAAGCATAAATGATGTTTAACACGTTCAATGATGCAATGACGTTCCATATCATTATCCATGTAGTATGTATAGCATGGCATTTACAAGCTCTTGCAGCGCACTACAATATATCCATAGAGTTATTCAGCTTTACAAGTGATTATATTATTATTATATTATTATTGCAACACTCGAAACAAAATGTGATTCCTTACGCATTTATCGTCGCCTATAATTTACAATCTGAAAGTAATCATAGAAAGTAGACAGGTGTATATGATAACAACAACTATACTGATGTATAGACAAGGCTCGAAATTCTATTAATAGGTACAGGTTTTATCCTGCCCACACCTTTGAAATACATGTTTGTAGGATATGTTTGCATACTCGGGGTTAGAGTGGTGAAATGTGACGTCTATTTTTAGAATTTCTAAAAAAAAAAAATCTTCGTTTTCCGAAAGAGCATATAAAATAATGTCCAAATGTCGAAAACCAGTTAAAAAGGTTAAGTATTGGCTGAGATATGACCATATGAATGAAAAGATTCCCTATAGGAGCTCAGTCTTATATCGATCGCTCTGGCTCATATTCATAACTTTATGAACCAGATAGATATAACACTGAGTTCCTATAGGAAATCTTTTCATTCAGATGGTCATATCTCAGCCAATATTTAACATTTTCAACTGGTGTTCGACATTTGGACATTATGTTGTATGCTCTTTCGGAAAATGAAGAAAAAATTGAGAAGTTATAAGGATAGATTGTTGTGATGCCACAGCTTCGGTACTCTATTAACGTTAATGGTGACGCTATACACAGTACAAATACGAAGAAGAAGAAGAATTAAAATAGGTTAAGTAGATCCATTAAAGCAAATTGATTTGTAGGTTATGGAAGTGCTCTTAGCTCTTAGCATTAATGAAACATATGAACGCATATCCGTCAATGGCTATTAACAAATCGCCCATGCATTATAAATTAAATCTCGCTCGTTTTCCTTTGGGAATAACTTGTTGAAAGTACTGGGCAGTCAAACATCATACCGTTAATATCTCACTATTTGAACTGATATGATTTTCAAACGATCCCTCTACCAATTAAAGTCCATTAGCGCGTGTTGCTGATATGAAATGATAACAGACCATTTCATATCCTTCTTTGAATCTGAGATGCACGGCCCTACGTGTTATCAGTGTCTGTGATATGGTTAAATATTGAAGCCCTAAACAAAGTGCGCTTCAAAATGATCACGAAGTGCCTCGAAATATCAGACCGCTTTTACCATACTCATTTTCCCCATTAGACTGTAGTGGTATAACATTTCTAATTCCATTTATAGATATCTTGATAATCAGAAAAGCGATTGGCATGTAAAAGTCGTGGGATTCATGTATGACATAAAGGTGTAAAACTGTGATTGCAGCATGAGCTAAATCCAGTATTTTTTTAGAATCTGAGGCAAAGTTACCCAATCCCTTTAAGGATCATTTCGTTTTCGAGTTGAACCGATTTTAAATGATAGTGAAATTCAGTATAAAGCAGTTGTTGAATTACTCTATGCCAATCCTTTGAGTGTAAATTTTCATGTTAAACGAAGTGATGTTTAATATGACTCCTAAAAGAGTGGATTTTAACTCCTGAGGTGTTTCACAAAGATCCTAAGTCGAACTTAACCCTAATTTGAACTTAAAAATTATGAAGAGCCATTTGTAGCCTTAAAATAAAATATATTCAAAGGTGAAAATCCAAGTATTTTAGACTTTTTATCATTGATGACAGAACATATGAATAATTTTAATCAACATTTTATGCCTTTTAAAATAACTTTTACAAAATATTTTGATAGATGCTAACGGTTTTCCATAATTGTTAAGCCCAACTTAGAGATAATTTTAACTTAGGATAGTTGTGAAACACCCCCTAGACATTTAGAGACTTGTTCAGTATTGATTGACGGGGTTTATAGGAATGAGCAAGGTATCCTGTTACCTTCCCTATCTATATTGGGATAACATGATGTGATTAAATAATCATCCTCTTAATACACAAATGATCAAGATAAAAGAAAAGCGCTCCTAAAAATAGTGAATGTTTACCCCTGACTGGTATTGCTGAACTCTATAGCCTGCTTGTCCCTGTGCCAAATTGAAATACCTGTATTTACATAGCCATCATGAAGATGTACATGATCCGTTGCTCTATCACTTTCTACTCGTTTTCTCTTCTATTTAATCATTATTCACCTTTTGATACCACTGTGAGTCATACTGTGTCTCTTTGTCCGTTAATCAAGAATGCGACTAATGGGTCATGAAGGCTGTAATGACGATTTCACTCTCACAACATTCAGGTTTGTTAGGTTATTTAGAAATGGAGTAATGAGGTTATGAGCTATAACTACCTGCTATATCACTAAATCAAACAAATGAGCCTGTAACATGATAGATGTTGTTGTCATGGTTATACAATGCGAGCACCTACCCAAAGCAAATCACCTCGTACTCGCTCCGTCTGTATTATCTAATGAATCTGAAGATGACATACAACATGTACTATGGTACTCGAAGTTTGCTTTTATGGGGTGGCTCCATTTAGGTACATTAACATTTGTTAAACTACAGTAATAGTGATAATGATAATAGCCTATATGAGATTTGTAAGGCGTCGAATCCACTTACAATCATATGATTAATTTAAGAATGGTCTCTTCCAGGCTTTTTGTTATTCGTCTTCGTCGACTTATTCTTCTTTTTCTTCTTGTTCTTCTTCCTCTTCTTCCTCTTCTTCTTCTTCTTCTACTTATTATTAATATTGTTATTCTTCTTATCCTTCTTCTTCTACCCTTCCTTTGTTTTGCTTCCTTTTATTAAAGACTTATGTTTGTATTATTATTAATGTGATGTAATTAGTATTGTATTCGTTCTTTCATTGCTGAAATACTCTATTATCTTATTATTAATGTTGAATTTAAAAGAGCACTGAATGACAGCCCTTCAGTGGAAAAAATGGCGATCAAATACTCCATCCATTTTTTAGTAAAGAAATCATTGCCTGGGAGAACATGAAATTCTTGAATTTTAAACTTCCCACAAAATTGTTTTTGATTTACTATTGAGTATTTCTTTAGAAAATGCAAGTCAATAATAACCTCGAGACGTATAGATATATAAGCGAATTTAAAATCATGTTAAACTTGCATGAATTTGTACATTCAAGGCTGTCATTGTATCCTTTCTTTTAAATGGCTACTTTGATGGCTAGACATACAATTAAAGGATATATATCGCATGTGATTTCCCATCTTAAATACGATAAAGACGACGGTGAATTTGTACACTAGTAATTAGATGCACAAATATGGTAATAGTCAGAGGAAGATAGTAAAAAAGAGAAAAAGGAGACAAATACCCTGTGTTACTTTAAATCATGATGCTCTTTTCTCCTCATCTTCTTCCTTTAAAAGTATTTTTTTGTTCTTCAAAAGCGAGCCCCAAACTTTGCGTCAGGTTTTAATCGTGAGTTTCTTTTCATTTTTTCCTAAATATGAATAGCACGGACCTAAATGCTTTAGGGGCTTAACAATTCAAGATTCAATTTTGTTTGACTTACCATGTCGGCTTTGCTTTGCTCCTCTTCGTCAAATCATGAATCCCTAGAATACAATCAGTCCAGACGGCGACACTGCGGCGGGAGAAACACGGTAGAATAAGGGCATGAGGCACTGCTGGGTAGTCGTCTGCTACGGCACACATACAACAATCACCGCTCTCGAAAATTAAATTCTCGATTCATCTACTTTTATGGTTTCTTCTTTCTCATCCAATGTCACCCTATCTTGGGCAATGTAATTTTAGAGCAAACAACAATGTCTTTAAACGGGTGCTTGCTTTGGCTTTATTATTTATGCGAGTTTATTAAATGAATTGGCGCTGAGCACACGTCGTGGTCGAAATCAGAACTCATTCAATTCCGCAGCACATTCTGAACTAATAGCGCATCGTCCGGTGCGTGCCAGAGACTGAGTAACGATGTCGTTTATAAATTGGACGAAGTCGTAGAATGCAGTTATTTCCAGGGGATTGTTGGTTGTTGGTTGTCGATGTTGCTATGCCGATGACCTGGGATGTCGTGTTGGTATAATGAAGGCACTCTAATGCGGTTGGTCGAATCTTTGGTCGAGATGAGCTTGATTAACTTTCCTTTGCATTCTGCGTCACGGCGAAGTTTTCTGTGAATAGAAACAACAAAACACATTCCATGACAACCTGGATATAAATAATTTTAAATTAACGGTATCCACATCTGAATGACAGTGGCATCAACTTTCATAACCAAATGTGTTCGCTTGTAAGTTACGATTGATATGTAGTCTAAAGAAAGAAAATAACTCACTACACTTAAAACAGTTATTAAAATATTTAACTCAGTTGCCTTTCTCAAATAAACGGCTATCCAATTTTTCAATTCGCCTCTTCAGAACCAGAAGGACGTTAAATGTTAGTTGAAGTAAATGAGTTAACGCCCTTCTCGCTCCGTACATAAAATGTTGTATATTTCATTTCGCTTGAGGTGTCTCATTTACGTGTCCCTGAAATTCTCATCTGAATTGTTGCAAATACAGACCATAATTAACGTAAGCACACACCCCCCCCCCCCAAAAAAAAAGTCGAGCTTAATTTAGATTAGCGGTTAGTGACCGGTAAGAGATAGATACATTTTTGACGAATTCGTCTAAATCTTAATGAACAAAACCATATCGTCTTATATGCTTTGCTTAAGTTTTTGTCCAATGGGGGAATCGCCTTTCTTTTACATTGTTCTACGTGCGTTTTGCTTTTTAATCACTGCTGTAAACTAGTCAAGATATTTAATGAAACCGTTCCAAACCTACCCGAGATCGCTTTTTAGCGAATCTTAAATCGCTAAACAACCCTATCATGACCACATCGTATGGACACGGAGTTGAATTAAATTGAATTGAATTTATTAACAATGTTTTCCCTCTCAACGGTACAATGTAAAACACAATGTATATATCAATCATATGCGTAACAATTATTTCAACATTGTATACAGTAAATAATTCAGATAACAGAAAGAGGCGAAAACCCGAAAAAGCATAGCTTTTGTTTGGGACCGCCCATATTATAAAGTTAACACAAGTTACTGAGAGAACAATTTTGATATTATTATGAAAATTACATTTTGTATAACAGAACGGCTATAGCAAAGAAAATATAATAAATTGAGGAAAAACTGAGAAGAGAATTAAGTAATCATATTCACTTATAAAGAGAAAGTTAACTCAATTGCATATTCCAAGCCCTCTTGGACTGTGCATGATTGTGTTACATCATACAAATGACAAAGTACTACTACTACTACAATACTGAAATAGACAGTGCGTACATATCATTAAAAACAAGCAAAACTAACAAAAACAACAGTAGCTTCATCGGACAACACTGTCCTGTGGAATATAGAGATGGTACCTAGCAACAGCTGAGGCGTGTACGTAAGCGATCGAAATAAATAAATGGTCATACAAACATGTTATTGACTTGTACAAGAAGTCACTTTCACACAAGTCATTTCCATGTAACGTTAAATAAAATTTGTCGTACATACATAGCGATATTCGGTATGCCCATCCCCTCCCACCCCCCCCCCCCCCCCAAAAAAAAAATATATATATATCTCATAATTGCCGACACAGTTTGATAAGCATGTCAACAAAATCTTAAAAGAAAACATGAAAAAAATGAGAATACAAAAATCGTTATGCTCATTTACATTTTTTTCCCCTGCATTTTAAAAGTAGGAGTGGGGAATTGTTTCCAGTTTGTTTGAATTTTAGTTTTTTAGGTTTTGCTTTTGTACATGACCTGTTTTCCGTTTTTGTCATCGCATGAGTTTTTGTTGTTTTGTTTATTTTTATTCTTATTATTTGTCCATCCTTCCATCGTTCGTTTGAGCGGTAATCTATGATGAATCTGCATTCTGTAGATCCATCACGTTGTGTGTCATATTGTGCATCTGCTCAGTTGCTCAGCCTAGATGATTAATGGCAACACTATTCAATGGGCGCCGACACATATCGATTAGAAATCATATCGCGGTCAGTCCTCATCATCATTCTCGAATATCAGTCAAATGGTTCACTGTTTCACAAGCTATGTCTCTTACTCTCTTTCTCTCTCTTTCCCTCTCTCTCTCTCCCTCTGTTTTCTCTAGTTATCTTCTGCTCTCTCTCTCTCTCTCTCTCTCTCTCTCTTTCTCACCCTCTATTCATTCTCTCTTCTCTCTCTCTCTCTCTCTCTCTCTCTCTCTCTCTCTCTCTCTCTCTCTATATATATATATCTTTTCTGTATTTCTCTCTTCTTTCTCCACTCCTCTTTCTGCCCTCTCCCCCTCTAATTCATAATCCCATATTATTACCCCAGCATTGCCAGGTACCAACTTGGGTGGAGAGTGTCACGTGGGGATTAATGTATATCCAAAGACGTATGGCATACCCGAGTGCCAGGCTGGGATTCGAACCCTCAACTCTTGATTCGAGTGAGTCAAATGAATGGCCCACTATACGACCTCCGAACCTCCATGCACGACAACCCTCTGACCATGTGAATCATGCCTCCATGTGTAAACTGATTATTCAATTAAATTCAATTTAATTCATTTTATTTGAATTATATATCCAGCAAACTTCTATTCATATGTAATTAGACAATATTTTTAGTTCATGGTGTGTAATGCCGATTTATTTCCTCTCCTCAACGCTTCCGTTTTCCCTCACAATGACTATTCTTGCCTCCTCTGAAGTTAGTTCTGACTGAGCTAGGAAGTTAACCAACACGTTTTAAAGTATACATTTTATAGTTGATGATTTACTCTTAACTTCACACAGTGCAGGTGTAACCTTTCCAGCACGACAGGTTTAGATACAATGTTTGGAAGGTCCCTTTTCTGATTCAATCTCTATTTATATGTCTACATTTGTTAGGAATAGTGCTACAGATTCATTTAAAGAGCTCGCTAGAATTTATGGTGACTTTCACAACGTGTGACTATGAAGTAAACATATTAAACAGTTAAATTCTAGCTTCCGGTTGGTTCTGCAGGGTGTTCATGGCGACTGTATTAATGAAAAGGCGCAATGTTACCCATTTGAGTGGATCAAATTAATTCAGAAACAAGTATTTTCAGAACAATAAAAAAAAATGTAAAATCTGAAATATATATAGTTTGACCTTATACATCTTGTACAAATGCAACTCTTACCATTATGCTTTTGTTACTTTTATTTTCGTATACAATTATTATGGATGTAGTTACTTTATTTTGTCTATTATTTGGTAAAGAAATTACTTCAGCAGTTCTACTTATCTCTTTGAAATACATGTGTTAGTACTCGGCTATTCATCCACCAACTTAATGATTCGACAACCATGCCCACCCCCACCCCCTCCTCCCCCCCCCCCTTCCCACTGTGCTTTTGATTTCCAATTGTCTTAGTAATAAACACTTTATATATCATTTACAGGGCAACCTGGAATTACTTCGCCCAGAGTGCGATCGTGATGCTATTTGAACTTAGTCGTAAACAAATCCTTCCTCCTCAATTCATACCGACAAAACCGATACAAGACCGACGATAGACCAAACAATTACCCTCAAATGGCCTCAATAGCAAAAATGTAGACGGATATCGGTTAGTTTGGAGTCGGTTTGACGGTTTGACCGAGGTAGAAGGCACGCGAAACACTATTTGCGGCGGTGTCATGTTAAAGATTCTTCACAGAGTGCTTGAATACGTCATATGATACAACAAGGTCTCATAAATTGTCTTGATTGTTTTACACATTAAGGGTGAGATTTTAAATCCAATTTTTAAAGAAAAATCCCCCATGCTGGGGTAGTAGACGTAAGTCTCTAAGGGATAGAAATACAGTGGTTTCCATCATGATATGCATGTTTATGCCTGGATACCAAATCCCTTTTTTTCTTCAAATCAACGTGTCATGAAAACACAAGGAATCAATAAATTCTCAAACTATATATTTCAATCGATTGTATGCTGTCATTTTCCAGAAGAAAAACCTAGCTTGAGTGACTTTGGTCCATCTATCTCCCTCCTTCCTTCCATATGAATTCGAAAATGTTCACATGATCTCTTTCGAGTGTACCAAGACTTCGTTACTGATCTCTCACTCTCCTCCCCCCTCTCCCCCCCCCCCCCCCTCTCTCTCTCTCTCCCTCTCTCTCTCTCTCTCCCTCTCTCTCCTTCTCAGGCTCTATCCCTTCCTCTTTCTTTCCCTCTCACTCTCTCTCTCACTCTCTCTCTCTCTCTCTTTTCCTCTCTCTCACTCTCCATCTCCCACCCGCTGCATTTATCCCCTACCCCTACCCCCCCCCCCCCTCGATCAGAATCTTCGGAATTATACAATAATTATGTAATGGAGCGTTTAATAAAGGCCTAATGAAATTTGTAAAGATCACTACCTGTTGCTACTTTCGTTAAAAAATAACAAATAAATCACAACATTTTAAATTCAAAATTAAGCTACTCTGAGTCGGAACGAGAGAAACCTCTTACCTGCACCCCATCCCCGGACACTTATCTGCACCCCATCCTCTGACACTTATCTGCACCCCATCCTCAGACACTTATCCCATCCCAAACAAATAGATAAACACGCCATCGCTTTGAGACATGGCAGTTAAGACTGGAGAAGGCACATGATGTAAACACAGCGTTCTTCGGATCATTGACATTCAACTAAACATTTACAGTTTCTAAAAAGAGATCTTCGGTTTGTATGATAATAAACACACCCCTCATGTTAAATATATCCATCTACACGATGTCAAATTGAGTGACTGGTATATCTTCTATGTTACATGAAAAGGCATTGTGAGAAACATTAACTCTTGAATAAAAAAATAAATAAAAAAAACATGCATGGTTATGAACCTGTGTTAATGATGTACATGTATGCTGTAAAAGTTTGAGATTGTGATGAAAGAATTAATAAAACAAGACTTCAAAAAGAAGAAAAAACGTGAGGAAATGTGAAAAGAAGATATGCGATAAGCAGAAGCCAGATCATATTATATATCTTTCGAAAAGAAACGGAATTCATATGAGAAATCTCTGAAAAGGAAGCCTTAAAATGATCCAAGATGATGCAGAATCTCTGGTGGAACCTTAATTAAATTCGATTGACA